CAACAATACTACAGCGAGAATATAAGTTACGCCTTCTTTCTTTGCGTGAACGTTTGGGCGGCGTTATGCAAATCTTCTCACATCGTGACGTAGACATGTGGGGTGTGTTAGAACGAGCCGTTTTAGGTAGGCGTGGTTGACTCTTAACTTCTATAAAGAATATCTCTTTGGAATTGAGACTTTAGTCTTTGCAACTTTACAGATCTTCTTTATGCACCAAGAGCTTGTAACACTCCAAAGAGAAAGGAAAAATTGAAATCGCATCATATGACCCCTTTAAGTTTATGACTGTTTCTTCTACTGTTCTAGTATGTCCTCAGGTGAGATGAAGGATAGTAAGCACTGTCACGATAACAGCCGTGCCATGGAGGACCGAGAGCGTGAAAAAAAGCTTGCCAAGAAACGCTTATACATTGTTTCAGTAGTGTGTCTGGTCTTCATGGTGGGCGAGATCTTAGGTGTGTGACCCATACTGCTGATTGGCTGCAAATTGGCTGCCATACTTGTTTTTGCACACTCAAAGGATTGCTGGTAAATATGCGCTGCTGTCTGGTCTGTGTACAGGTGGGTATTTTGCTGGGAGTCTGGCAGTGATGACAGATGCCGCACACCTGCTTGTGGACCTCACCAGCTTCATCATCAGTTTGTGCTCGTTGTGGCTGTCGTCCAGACCTGCTACACGCACTCTCAATTATGGCTGGCATCGAGCAGGTGACTGGACTTGTAGAACAGTAAATTGTTGTCATGTGGCTCAAAACTCCTGGATGGATTTTTAAATAGTACTATTTTTAAAACAGTACACTATATATACAAAAAAAAGAAAGAAAAAAAAAAGAAAGAAAAAAGTAAATACACTACCATTCAAAAGTTTGGGATTAGTAATTTATTTATTTAAGACATTAAATTGATCAAAAGTGACAGTAAAGACATTTAATATGTTAAAAATATTTCTGTTTCAAATAAATTGCTCTTTTTAACTTTTTTTCATTAAAGAATCCTGACCAAATAATTTTTCCACAAAAAAATATTATGCATGACAACCATTTTTAATATTGCTAGTAATATGAAATGCTACTTAAGCACCAAAACAGCATAGAATAATTCCTGAAGGATCTTGTGACACTGAAGATTGGAGTAATGGCTGCTGAAAATTCAGCTTTGCCATCACAAGAATAAATTACTTTTTAATATGACAGTTCAAAATAGTTATTTTAAATTTTAATAATATTACACAATTTTTTTTCTGTATTTTTTATCAAATAAATGCAGCCTTGGTGAGCATAAGAGACCTCTTTCAAAAGTATTTAAAAATCTTACCCCAAATATTTGAACAGTAGTGTATTCATAGTACTTCTTATATATTCTTGATGTATGCTAGTGAACTATACGAAGTACAGTTGTAATTTCATCTACTTAAATACTACTGGGTATTTTCAGAAATCTTGGGTGCTCTGCTATCTGTCTTCACCATTTGGCTGGTGACTGGTGTGCTGGTGTATCTGGCAGTGGAACGGCTCATTCATGATGACTTCACTATTGAGGGCACAGTCATGCTCATTACTTCTGGCTGTGCTGTACTGGCCAACATTATGTAAGGCAAAAACCTCACTGAGCAATGCGGTTTTATTTCGGAATATATCTGCACACTATTAATAGCCCTAATCTAATAACTAACTAATCTATGGCATTTGAACAAAATCGTTATTTGCTGTGAAAGCTGACCTTCTGTCTGTCCTTCTCTGTGCAGAATGGCCTTCACTCTGCATCAGTCAGGTCATGGCCATAGTCACGGTGGTCTGAGCGGTGGCCACGGCCACAGTCACGACCATAGGAAGAAAAACGGCCACAGCAATTCTAACGCTAATCATTATGACGTCGAGAAGCATGGGTCTGGTAAAAGACAACAAGCTAATGCTAGCGTCAGGGCAGCATTTGTGCATGTTATTGGAGACCTTCTACAGAGTGTCAGTGTGCTTGTCAGTGCCCTCGTCATCTTTTTTAAGGTAAGAGATTATTAGCAGTTTAAATTCTTAGGTCTGATGAGTCCTAACTGATGAACCAGCAGTATTTAATGTAAAAGTAACATTGGCTTAACCAGTAGCTGTTTGTTATGAGGGAATACTAGTGTTGTCTGAATGCATTTTAATGTAATAGTGTGGCAGATAATGATAAGTATAGATCCACTTTTGATGGCATAATACTAATGAAAAACTGATTTCTTTTCTTTTTATAGCCCGAATATAAAATTGCAGATCCCATCTGCACCTTCCTGTTTTCTCTATCTGTCCTGGGAACCACACTCACCATCATGAGGGACATTATTATTGTCTTAATGGAAGGTAAAAATGTCTTGTTTTTTTTTGCTGTTTCAGTTATGCTTCAGAAATCATAGAGCTGTAATTTAGGTAAAGAGTGGTGACTTTAAAAAAGCTTATAAATATGTTTACGTCACAAGTTTACAGACAAAGGATGTCTATTTTAGTTCTTCCAATGAAAATAGTCCCATAAGAAGCTAAAAGAGAATCTGTTATGTCTGTGAATCTGCAATAGTGGTGTTCTGTTCCTGAATGAATCAGTGTTTTTGAGGGAATCAGTTACGTGAATGACTGAATCACTCATAATGATGTCACTGATTTTGTTCCTGGTTGAGTGAATGATTCAGTGACTCACATATTATGACCGTCACTGGTTTTGTTTCTGAATGAATCAGTGTTTTTGAACGAATAATTTGAGCAAATGGTTGATTAATCACTCACTCAGTCTCTTCTCACCACCTCCAGGTGATGTATGATTTAACCTTTAAGAAAGAGCCACTCATCTTCATTGCTAATGGGAACATGCAAACACGGACAAACTGAGCGATTAAAACAGTGAAACGTCATCAGTCAAATTCTAGGACCTGAATTAACCGCTGTAAAAGATAGTTTTGATTAGTTTAATTTCTAAATTTCTGGTCACCACAAAATTGTCATACTTCCATCGTGCAATTTCAGTTTTGATGAGTTAACTATTATTCTTAATTTAGAATGTAGAAATAATGATGAATAAGTAGGTCTGTCAAAACTTGTGACTGGCAAATTAATTGAAGTCTTAAATATAAGTATCTATAAATAAATACAAGCTGTTTAATTGGCCACTAGGCATTCTATGGAAGGTTGTTTCATTTTTCATCTTATCCTCATTAAAACATTTCTTGGAACATGAAGATTTTAATTAGGAACTCCTCAGCCTCAGTGTTTCTCCTCCACAGGTACGCCGGCTGGTGTGAACTATAATGAGGTGAGGGAACGACTGCTCAGAGTAAAGGGTGTCAAAGCTGTGCACAACCTTCACATCTGGGCCTTGACAATGAACCAGGCTGTGCTCTCTGCTCATGTGGCTATAGGTAACACTTTTAACTCCATATGGAATCTTTTGGCATTTATTTGCATAACCTAAAGCAAAAACATATATCTGAAATATTCATCCTAGCCATGAGTTTATAACCGTCTGGTTCATTTTGAACTCTTTAGATGATACCGTAGAGCCACAGGCGGTGTTGAGAGAAATGACCCAGACCTGTTTCACCTCATACAGTTTCCATTCAGTAACCATTCAACTGGAGCATCAGGCGGACCAAAGGGCTGACTGTAGCCTCTGTCAAGACCCCACAAAGTGAAACAACCAGAGACTTTTATATCAAAGAATGGCCCTGGTCCAAAGGGACAAAAGATAATAATTTCACAAGTTTTATTTTCAAAATCAGGTCTTTTTGGATTGCAGACACCTCTGTTCTTGTGTGTTTTTTCACTAATTTGGATTTAAAGGGATGGTCACCCAAAAATGAAAATTCTGCCATTATTTTCTCACCTGTATGATTGCTCTTATTTTTTAAATTTACTCATGAAAGTTGTTCGGACCCCATTGTTCTTCTTTTGTGTTCTGTAAAAGAAAGTAAGTCATACAGGTTTGGAACGGCATGAAGGTGAGTTTAAATACCTGAATTTTTCATTTTGGGTGAACTATCCCTTTAAGAAGAATTTGTTGTGAATAGATCTGTCAGGAAAATAACTTGTTGAAATGTGGCAAATCTAATTCACTGAGCCAGGTAAGAAGGTACTTTAGCAATGAAAATAAATTTGAATAGTCATGCAATAACATTATTTGTTCAGTCGATTTACTTTTTTTCATTCATATGTTTATTTTTTGTAATCAGCAAACAGGACTACTGTACTGGTGCAATGTACTGTACTCTTTGAACCATCCCTTATTTAAATGGATAATTACCACAAATCAAAAGTACGTTCATCTTCTTGCTGATCTTAGGTTTGTTTATTTGTTTCTTTTCATTCTTTTTCGTTCTTATTTCTGTAACGCTGAGAGATCTTTTCATTTCTTTTATTACTACAGGACTGATCAGTAATTTTGTCCCATTTCCAATGTTATGTTTTACACTCCTAGAGCAAAGACTGAATATTCATATTATGGTAACACTTTACAATAAGATTCCATTAGTTACAAGAGTTACTAACAATAAGCAGTGCAGTTACAGTGTTCATTAATATTTGTTATAGCTAAAAATGAATATTTGTTATTTGTTAAAAAACACAACTGATCATTGTAAGCTCATGTTAACTTGGGTCTATTAAGTAGTAGGTTATTAACGGATAATACATTTTAATAATGTATTAGGAAATGTTGAAATTAACATTGAATGATTTTTATTGTTTATGTTAATGTAGTTATCTAAAAGGGAATTTATTGTAAAGTGTTACCCATATTCCTATATCGAGTAAAAATATATATTCAAAAGTGAATATTAAAATGGAAAAGTATGTTTGTATTTGTTGGTAGTGTACAGTTTGATGTATTTGCCTTACAGAAGCATCTTTGGCATGTTTTTATCACTCATAATTAAACTGATGAATGTACAACGTTACAACTTTGTCTACTGTCAAAAAACTTTTGTGTTTTGTGTCACTTACCTGGTGATCTTCGTTTATACTCTTAAATTGATGGATGAGATATTCCATGTTTAAGGATCTTCCAAACAAACTCTCTTATTCTTCCATTAGATACTTTTACATATAATAAACAGAGAATTTAAATCAAATCTAGAACAGGGTTCTACACAAATGTTGTTTTCCATCTCGTAATTCCCTTGTTGGATGTATTATTCAAAGGAATGCCCATCAAAAGAACAAGCAGCTTAATTTGCGCCATTGCTATCTCTCGCTCTCTTGTTTTCATTCTCTTTTAAGTGAAATACTGTATCTCATTGTACCTCCTGCTCATCCATGGTCTAATCCTCTTATAGTCCACTGGATGAGGATAGAAAATCAAGCCATGCTAATAATCAAAATATAGAGAGAAAAGCCCTTTTGAAGTGGGAGTCCCTGTGTGGCTTTACACACTGTGAATAAGAAGAGTAATCAGCAAACTGTTGTGTAAGTGCATGTTCTCTAGTGAGAGGAACAAGATCACTCCGGTTTACAATGAAAGACCTACGTCTCTGAAAGCCACACAGACCCCAAATTACCTTAAATTATATGGAATCATCTTCTTTGATATTGAAAAAGGATATGTAGGATTATTAGGCATATAAATAGACACAAGCAAAAGAGCATGTCTACAAAACAGACTTGAACTCAAGTGAAATCATTGTTATTGATCACAGGGAGTCTGAAGTTCTCATTGATTCGTTTTCAGTTGTTGTTTAAAATCACACAAATTGATTCAGTATGAAGATCTATCTTTGTTTTTCTGTCATGAACCAATGATTTGAGATCATTATGTAACTTTAATCTTTTAATTTCCAATGATGCATTGACAGTTTCTTCAGATGTAAACAGACACATACAGTTTCACAGTTTTATTTAATCCAAATCATATTACAGGACTGTAGATAGCAGATGACCATTTTTAAGAAGCACTAGGATTTTTAAATGTGGCATACATAATAAAATAAAACAAAAATGCAAAACTATATGTAAAATATTAGTGAACGCTAGATGGCGCACTGCACCTTCAGCTAAAAAGCGTACTCGCATTTCCACTATACATTTAGTAACAATATATCCCATATTAGCCTGTAGAATATAGATATTTGTATTGAAAACAAAATTCAAGTACAATATTTGTTTAAACAAACATACTGTTTCCATCAAAAATTGTTCTTTGCTAAGCACTGAGCCACACACTTTACATATGTGAGACGCGGTGACTTCTCGTGAAATCTCGCGAGGGCTGACTCAGACGAGAACACAGCACGGAAAACATGACGTCTTGTCAACAGCACTAACAAGGTATTTATTTAAACGCTGTTAATGTTTACATATATTTAGACGAAAAACATTTTCTGTGTTTCTGTTACATACATGTTATGGCTGATAGTTGCTGTTTGTCCAGCTTCGTTAGACATTCAAGCTTTGATAATAGTAGCTCAATGTAGAGCTAAATAATAGATTTTGTTGTATCTAAATGTTTATTCTGTTACGACTATTATTATGTGTTTTCATTTGCTTTTGTATGTTATTGTTTTTTTATTTATTGTTTATAATTTGACTATATAATGCTAAAATGTGATGTTTGGTTTATGTTTATATGTTTTAGGTGTATGGTTCAGTTAACATGCCAATACTCTCTCTCTCTCTTATACAGTCATGAACATATATTGTTAACAGACATGCCATAGGGTCCCACCAAATAGCCACCCAGCCATCAGTGCCCACATCCCACCGTCCCCATGACAACCCCTCCTCTGGCCCAGTTCCCTGGGCAACAGGCTCAGGCAGCTCGGGATGTGAACACAGCCTCGCTCTGTCGGATCGGACAGGAGACGGTGCAGGACATCGTCTTACGAACCATGGAGATCTTTCAGCTGCTGAGAAACATGCAGGTAAATTCATCCCCTCAAAAGCATCCATCCACAGATGAAAACTTACTCTGCTGACTCTCTTTCTCCCTGTCTTCTCACTCAGCTGCCGAATGGAGTAAGTGCATGTTCTCTAGTGAGAGGAACAAGATCACTCCGGTTTACAATGAAAGACCTACGTCTCTGAAAGCCACACAGACCCCAAATTACCTTAAATTATATGGAATCATCTTCTTTGATATTGAAAAAGGATATGTAGGATTATTAGGCATATAAATAGACACAAGCAAAAGAGCATGTCTACAAAACAGACTTGAACTCAAGTGAAATCATTGTTATTGATCACAGGGAGTCTGAAGTTCTCATTGATTCGTTTTCAGTTGTTGTTTAAAATCACACAAATTGATTCAGTATGAAGATCTATCTTTGTTTTTCTGTCATGAACCAATGATTTGAGATCATTATGTAACTTTAATCTTTTAATTTCCAATGATGCATTGACAGTTTCTTCAGATGTAAACAGACACATACAGTTTCACAGTTTTATTTAATCCAAATCATATTACAGGACTGTAGATAGCAGATGACCATTTTTAAGAAGCACTAGGATTTTTAAATGTGGCATACATAATAAAATAAAACAAAAATGCAAAACTATATGTAAAATATTAGTGAACGCTAGATGGCGCACTGCACCTTCAGCTAAAAAGCGTACTCGCATTTCCACTATACATTTAGTAACAATATATCCCATATTAGCCTGTAGAATATAGATATTTGTATTGAAAACAAAATTCAAGTACAATATTTGTTTAAACAAACATACTGTTTCCATCAAAAATTGTTCTTTGCTAAGCACTGAGCCACACACTTTACATATGTGAGACGCGGTGACTTCTCGTGAAATCTCGCGAGGGCTGACTCAGACGAGAACACAGCACGGAAAACATGACGTCTTGTCAACAGCACTAACAAGGTATTTATTTAAACGCTGTTAATGTTTACATATATTTAGACGAAAAACATTTTCTGTGTTTCTGTTACATACATGTTATGGCTGATAGTTGCTGTTTGTCCAGCTTCGTTAGACATTCAAGCTTTGATAATAGTAGCTCAATGTAGAGCTAAATAATAGATTTTGTTGTATCTAAATGTTTATTCTGTTACGACTATTATTATGTGTTTTCATTTGCTTTTGTATGTTATTGTTTTTTTATTTATTGTTTATAATTTGACTATATAATGCTAAAATGTGATGTTTGGTTTATGTTTATATGTTTTAGGTGTATGGTTCAGTTAACATGCCAATACTCTCTCTCTCTCTTATACAGTCATGAACATATATTGTTAACAGACATGCCATAGGGTCCCACCAAATAGCCACCCAGCCATCAGTGCCCACATCCCACCGTCCCCATGACAACCCCTCCTCTGGCCCAGTTCCCTGGGCAACAGGCTCAGGCAGCTCGGGATGTGAACACAGCCTCGCTCTGTCGGATCGGACAGGAGACGGTGCAGGACATCGTCTTACGAACCATGGAGATCTTTCAGCTGCTGAGAAACATGCAGGTAAATTCATCCCCTCAAAAGCATCCATCCACAGATGAAAACTTACTCTGCTGACTCTCTTTCTCCCTGTCTTCTCACTCAGCTGCCGAATGGAGTCACCTATCATCCTAACACTCATCAGGACCGGTTGGGGAAACTGCAGGAGCACTTGCGGATGCTCTCCGTTCTTTTCCGCAAGCTCCGTCTCGTCTATGACAAATGCAATGAAAATTGTGCTGGCCTGGACCCCATCCCTCCTGAGGTGAGATTATGCTATCTATATCACAGTCCAGTCTAGTTTAAACGAAACAGACTTACATTTAACTTTTTTTATGTTATTAAGTAATTCGATTCTGAATATGGAACCTATCTTTTTAATTTAAAAATCAAGATATTTACTTTACTCAAGCTGGTGTGTTGAGTTGTATAAGCCAGTCATTCATGCAGTCTCTTTTCTTTTATCAAAGAGAGCAGTGAAATAAAGTCATTTAGATCTGCAGTTATTTTATTTATTATGTTTATATTCCCCCCCCTCTACAACTTTTTGTTTCCTTTGAAGAACCAGGTAGTACCAATATATCCCATGTAAGCTCACAGAATGCAGTTATTTATATTGAAAACAAAATTCAAGTAAAATATTTGTTTAAACAATCCTACTGTTTCCACCTAAAAACTTTCTTTGCTAAGCACTGAGCCACACACTTTGCATATGTGGTACACAGGAACTTCTCGTGAAATCTCACAAATCTCGCAAAATCTCGCTCCATCTCGATAACTTTTTTTTTCTTTGAAGAACCAGGTTTACCATTGTCTTGAAAAACCTGGATATATATGTCGTGGCTTCATTTTAAAAGTCATTCCTAGACCCGGTCATGTAAATAAAATCGTAAAACTACATGAGCATTAAACATACATTTTTTTAAAGTTAAAAATAATGTATATTAAGTAGAAAATGTGTGTAAAATATTTCTAAAAATCCTTGTCTTTATTTCTTAACAAGTCACAAACAACTGGAAAAGTCATCATGGGGCCTTTAAATATTGTTTTGGACAATGGGGGGTCTTTGAATCAAAAAGGTTGATAAACACTGGCCTATATAGAATAAAACAGCTTTTTCTAGGCCACTGACATGATTGAAGCGTCTCGTATGTGTGTGCATCTTTTTTAAACAAATTTCTCAAAAGTATTAGCCTAATTATATTACAAGTGGTTGATAACTTAAAAGTGTAGTTTGAGTGAATATTTAAGAGTGTGTTCATTTTATCTCGTACTTGAGGGAATTCTGTCCATCCATAACATATACTCACCTGCGAATGTTTTAATTACTGCACCTTGTGAGTGCTAGCTTTCAATTTCCAGCAGAGGAAAGATCCTTGAATCACATTGTCAGCTTGGCTTCCTATTAGCATTGAAGTGATCTAGTGATTGAGTCCAACTGAGATTCCCACTGACTCAGTTTGGTCACCCTAAGAGCTCATTGAAGTAATGTCTGGACTTGCAAAGTACAAGCTCTACAAGAGCTTGAATGTTTTTCAGATCTTCTGAAGCACTGCTGTTATGACTTCTGGAAACATCTGGAATAAAATATAATGTTCAAATCGAGAAGAAAGGATATATATCCTCTAATTTTGCCTTGAGTCATGAATCACAGGTACATATGAAACATGAAGTCTTGCTGTGATTTAGACATAATTTGGCCCTCAGGAATTAAGACTCAAATTTTTATGAGAGCAAATTAAGCCCTTTAGAGTTGGATCGAATGCACAGCTGGTCTGTTGAGTCATTTAAGCATCATTCGTGCAATCATTTTTCTTTTATTGAAAAGAGCGGTGGAATAAAGTCATTAGATCTGCAGTTGCTTTAACTGGAGGGTATGAACAACAGCCTTGAGAGTTGGAAATTCAGGTTCTTTCTCCTCATTAACAGAAGTGCTTCTGTGCTAACAGGATATTTATTATGGCTCAGCCTGGTCTTTTTGGATTTCAGGTGTTCTCTTTAGCTCCTGTTGCGCTTTCTCTCCAAACAGGAAGTGCTATAATGGAGCCAGTGGCATTACCTCATCACCTTGCTAATTAGCTGCGGCGCTCTGTAATGAACAGCTGGTGAAGTCCCTCATGTCAGCATTTTCCAACCCAGGCAATCACCGGCTCCCAACGGTGGAATTTCCTGCACAACGCAAACGAAATAGCCATGTCATTTCATTTACCACCTCACTTTTTCCATCCACTTCAATGTAATCAACCCGAGTGAACCTCACTGAATCATTGTTTTCAGGCAGCTGGCAGAGCACATCCATCTTTTAGTGTCTGGACTTTGAGTAATGTGTTGTCCGCGTTATATTAACTAGCTGGCTCTTTCTTGCTCCACTTGTTGCCGACAGGTGGGTACTTCCTTTGAAACTCAATGTGAGTTTGGTTCAGAAATTCTATTGGTTCTTGTTCTTTTCTAAAAATTCGGACTTCGGACCTAAAGTGTGCAAAGCTAATTAAATCAGTCCTCGAGCTACGGCTTGTGCCTTTTCTCTCTCTGCTGGGCCGGTCACCCGCCTGTGGTTTGATGCATTCACTTCCTTGACGAACCTGCCAGGGGCTTTTCTCTCTCCCTCCTTTGCATTTCATATGATCAGATTTTTCCTTCTTGCTTTTCTGCTGGCATGTGACAGCCTAAAGCTTGTAAGGTCTGTTCTGTAAACCGCAGACCCATGAAATATGAGTGATTCAGAATGTGGGACTTGATTTTCCTGTTGCTGCTGAAATTATAGATCATTTAAGCTGTTCATTGGTTACCTTTGCACTGCTGTTTTTGTGTTAAAGTTTGACGAAAAGAAATAACAAGGGAAAAGGGCAGACTTACACTACTGTTCAAAAGTTTGGGATCAGTTATATATTTTTTAAAGAAATTAATACTTCTCAGCAAGGAGGTGTTAAATTGATCAAGTGACAGTAAAGATTTTTATATTGTTACAAAGGATTTTTTTTTCAAAAGATTTTTTGAAAGAATTTTGAGGAAAAAATGTATCAGGCTTTCCATAAAAATATTATGCTGCATTAATAATAATAATAATAATAATAATTAATAATTATTATATATAATAATAATAATAATAATAATAATAATAATCTTGAGCACCAAATCAGTAATGGAGTAATGGCTGCTGAAAATTCAGCTTTGCCATCATAGGAATAAAATACATTTGAAAATATGATTGAAGGATCTAAGGATTTTTTGTAGCAACCCTCTTCAAGAGAGCAACCATACATTTGTGTATGAAATAATAATTATTTTATATCATAATAATATTTCACAGTATTACAGCTTTACTGTATTTTTTATCAAATAAATGCAGCCTTGGTAAGCATAAGAGACTTTCAAAAACATTGAAAAATCTTACAGACCCCAAACTTATTGGTAGTGTAGATCTTTAGATTTATAAAATATATTAACTTGTAATGGGGTTGTTGATGCATTACATGTTTTATCACGGTTTTGAAATGTATATTAATAAGGGAATTTGTATATTTTAGGTAATATAACTACATTTGACATTTTACCTTTGACCTTTTAACCTCCACTAATTCTGTTTAAATGGTCTTAAAAGTCCAAATGTTCCTCAGTATATTCCTCATAAGCCTCATAATATGAGCTGCATGCATAATAAATGAATTGGTGAAATGCTATAAAATAGTTTGAAAAGAAGTATAGCATGTCACCACAGGACATGTCAACAAGTATTTCTTGTCAATATCAACTTCCTAAAAGTATTTCTTGTCAGCTATTCATGTGCTATTGTCCTCCAGTTTATTTTTCATTGTAATGATATGTTGTCACACTAAAAACTCATTAATAGTCAGTTACACAATAACAATAAAAGTCTTGAAAAAAGTTTTTCCAGTCGTTTCCAATTGAAGTTGGCACGATAGGACTAGGTGTTATATTACTTAAGTAGTTCTTGAACTCAAAGTAATAATAATAATTAATAATTAGTATATATAATAATAATAATAATAATAATAATAATAATAATAATAATAATAATAATAATAATAATAATAATAATAATAATAATAATCTTGAGCACCAAATCAGTAATGGAGTAATGGCTGCTGAAAATTCAGCTTTGCCATCATAGGAATAAAATACATTTGAAAATATGATTGAAGGATCTAAGGATTTTTTGTAGCAACCCTCTTCAAGAGAGCAACCATACATTTGTGTATGAAATAATAATTATTTTATATCATAATAATATTTCACAGTATTACAGCTTTACTGTATTTTTTATCAAATAAATGCAGCCTTGGTAAGCATAAGAGACTTTCAAAAACATTGAAAAATCTTACAGACCCCAAACTTATTGGTAGTGTAGATCTTTAGATTTATAAAATATATTAACTTGTAATGGGGTTGTTGATGCATTACATGTTTTATCACGGTTTTGAAATGTATATTAATAAGGGAATTTGTATATTTTAGGTAATATAACTACATTTGACATTTTACCTTTGACCTTTTAACCTCCACTAATTCTGTTTAAATGGTCTTAAAAGTCCAAATGTTCCTCAGTATATTCCTCATAAGCCTCATAATATGAGCTGCATGCATAATAAATGAATTGGTGAAATGCTATAAAATAGTTTGAAAAGAAGTATAGCATGTCACCACAGGACATGTCAACAAGTATTTCTTGTCAATATCAACTTCCTAAAAGTATTTCTTGTCAGCTATTCATGTGCTATTGTCCTCCAGTTTATTTTTCATTGTAATGATATGTTGTCACACTAAAAACTCATTAATAGTCAGTTACACAATAACAATAAAAGTCTTGAAAAAAGTTTTTCCAGTCGTTTCCAATTGAAGTTGGCACGATAGGACTAGGTGTTATATTACTTAAGTAGTTCTTGAACTCAAAGTTCTCGGATGTTTACAGAATTAAAGAATATACTAGAGTATCTGAACTTTATTAATAATAATAATAACATTTAAATGCAGCTATTTTTAATGAGTGAGTTAGAATTTGTTTTTATGCCCGTTATGAGAAAACCACTGTCTATGCAGAAATGAGGGCATTTTTCTTCACTTGCATGCACTGATTGCTCATCCAGAACACCAGCAGGTGTCACTGTGATGTTAAAGCGAGGAGATCATGATCCGGTGCCAGCAGAGCTGTGAGACCGCTGTCTGTTTGGCAAGGTCACAGAATGATAGAACCTCACGAAAAGAATGAGACACTTTAACAGAAAGCACATGTGGATAGAACTTAAACCATTGTTCTGCGGTAAATTGAGGGAAACAAAGCCGTACCAAAGGTGAATGAGATTTATTTGATGGTGGATCTGACGGTCTGCTTTTACTGTAACCCTGTCCAAGGCTGTTGAGAGGGCTCAGACAATTTGTGAAGTTGAATTTGAAAGCCAAAGGGCAGTGCCTGTTGAGTGATTTATTTAGGCAAAATAACAGATGGCTGTTATGTTACAAAATTTAGGACCTAAGACCTAAGATCTGATTTCTCTGTTTAAGGCTTTTGAATTATGCAATAATCCATTACTGGGGCTTCACCCGGTTGTTTAACTTTACAATCTCATATCTTAAGCTCTTGTGTTGTTTAGACAATAGATCACAACAGTAAATGTTTGCATGAAATTGGATTCAAACCATGGTAGTTTTTGTGCTCGGATGCTTTTTGTGATTATTTTTCAGGCTTTCACATATAGCTTTGGATAATGGCCCAGCTTAACCCTAGTTCAGGGCGCTCATTTTTAAACTGCCTAGAGATAAACCCACTATCAAAATTGATGTTTCTGTTCACAAATACTACCATATCTTTTTCATTCATTTTTAATCCAAGATGTCAGGAAGGCATCAGATTACTTGTGGCAAGTAAATAATCAAATAAATACCTGAGTCTTGTGTAGTGACCCTGATTTATACAGGTGAAATTTGAAAGGTACCTCATTCATCTACAGTTGAGCATTAAAAATAAATAAATCATTGCTGTACCTTTGTAGCCATGACTTGTGGTTTGTGGTAGCTCAGTGATTGAATATCTATGTTTGTAATCTAAAGGTTTGCAAGTTTAAACCTCACAAGCGGGGCAATTCGTGTACTGTCATCATTGTGCCCTTGAGCAGGGCACTTAAACCGAGGTTTTTCCAGTGAGACTGGCCTTGTAATAATAGGATTGCAAGACTCTTTGGATAGAAAAAGTGATTTAAAAAATCATTAACTGATTCAAAATTTGTTAGAAGATGATCAGGAATTTTATTTTTCTTTCTTTAATTTTTTTTTGTATGCAGTTTTGTATATTTTAGTTCCCTACGGTTAAATGAGTGGAATTTTTGACTTAAATGCACTCACCGGCCACTTTATGATTATTAGGTACACCTTGCTAGTACCAGGTTGGACCCCTTTTTGTCTTCAAAACTTTCATCAGACCAGGCAAGCTTTTATCCAATCTTTTTCTGTTGGCCAATTTTGGTGAGCCTCAGTTTCCTGTTCTTAGCTGACAGGAGTGGCACCCAGTGTGGTCTTCTGCCACTTTAGCCCATCTGCTTCAAGGTTTGACGTGCATTCAGAGATGCTCTTCTGTAAACCTTGGTTATAATGAGTGGTTATTTGAGTTACTGTTGACTTTCTATGAACTCGAACCAGTCTGGTCATTCTCCACTCCTCTAAGTTGCTGGCATGCAATTGGCTGATTAGATATTTGTGTTAACGAGCAGTTGAACAGGTGTACCTTATAACGTGGACGGTGAGTGTATATCACTGTGTTACAGTGGATAGCTATACATGTGAATTTGTGGCTGCCGTAAAGCAGTCCGCCCCTTTTTGCAGAATTTCATATCTGCTCACCAAACTTACATACTCTCAGAACAGACGTTTGGGGAGCAGTGTGAGAAAGAAACAGAAGCCATTCTCCTTATTAGAAATCAGTGTACCATCAGAAACTGATATTTCAAGGTAAAAAAAGAAAAAGTGCAGTTGCTTTAAATGTGCCGTAGGAGATTATAACTTATGCATCTGAATCAAACTATTCCATCTCTTCAGTCACTGCCTTTCTAATTGGCTAAGTTTTTTGATTTGCAAAAAGGGTGGGCAAATCCCCTGACTCTTTTTTATTGTTGTTCACAGAATAGGGTCAGGGTTTTGGCTGGATAGCCTGCTGGTAGATGGCCGTAACTACACCATCTAAACCAAAAAGCATCTTTCACTATTGACTGCTTCTTTAAAATATCTGTGCATTTAATGACAATTAACAAACATCATTTAGTAGATGTTTAACCAGAGCCTGATTGTTTTTTGAAGTGTGAAATAGGCTTTATATTTTCCCTGGCTGCTGCTTTTGACGTCACACCTCAGGATAGTTGCTAGTGAAGGGATTGGAACTGAGCGTGTGTTCCTGTGGTGCTATCAGTGGCAAACACAAAAATGAGTGCATAACAGTGAAGTAATCAAAAAGTCACTATGTGGTAATTTTATTCTGTCTTTCTTTTTCAGCAACTTATCCCGTATGTAGAGGATGAGAGTTCTAAACTGGATGACCGAATGGCCAATCAAATGCGTGCAACCAGCGAAGAGAGAAGAGAAGTACTGGAAGTAAATAAGGTTAGAACCTTATTTTTTGGACATTTTATATTTGACAGATGCTTTTATCCAAAGCAACTTAACGTTGTGTTTAAGGTATACATTTATGAGGACATGCATTCTCTGTGAATCAGACCCCATTGACACAGGAACACTCCTACATCAAATGTTAAAATAATACATTTTAAACAAAATACAAAATTATTGGCAGTATATATACATTGCAACTACACATATAACTACATATACACATTAATACTTGTATTCAGCAAGGATGCATCAAGTTGATCAAAAGTGACAGTAAAGACTTTTACATTATTACAAAACATTCTTTCAAATAAATGTTGTTCTGTTGAACTTTCTATTCATCGAAAAACATTACAAAAATTTTACCGACCCTAAACTGTAGTGTACTGCACAGTATATAAACTCAAAACAGGCCACTTCACTGCCTGCAGAGATCTGTTTACAGTGTCAAGCAATGAGATGTCTGCCATATTCACTTGCATAATGAAGCCATAGTAAAAAACAACAACTGATGACTCTCTACCAAGAATTTCATGACTTTCTTGCAGTAAAAGCAAAATGATCAGATTTTTTTCTGAGCTCCTCTCTGCCATTGAGTCTGCCTTATTTAAAAACTGCAGCATGCTCATGAAAGGCAGTTGGTGTGGAAATGCTAATGCGACAAGGGCCCTGGAGCTTTTTGCTGGCCAAATAGCTGGCTGCAAATAACACGCTGGATGAGGTGACCATGTTGGGGGAATGAAGGATGTCAGACTCAGGGGAGGTCAAGGTTGCGTCAGAATGTGGAGAGCAGATGTGTTACAGCTCTCCGTCATCTGCCTGTGCAGCATTTGTGTGTTCAAGGATCTTTAATGTTGGCTAATAGTCACATGACATGCAAGTAAACAAATAAAATGTTTAATGTTTTTTTTAGGAATTGTTTATTTTGATTGTTTTTGTTTTGAAATAGTTTATTTCAGCTTTTCATCAACTCCAGTTTGGGAAAGCCTGGATCAATGGATGAATTGATGGTCTATCTATCTATCTATCTATCTATCTAAATCTTAATCTATCTATAAAAATGTTATGCATATGCACAGGATCTATAGAAAGATGAGGTATGAAGGATGATGGAAGGACAGATAGACGGATGAATGCAGAGAATGTTATAGTAATGAATGGAGTCATGGATGAACCGGAAGATAGACATCAGCTTGAACGAACAAATGGATGTATGCATGAAAGTAATGAGGCCATGCATGATTGAAAATTAGCACTCAGGTCAGTTTGTTGAAACATAATGGAGAGCGTCTGTCTGACTCATCCCATTGTAGGCTAGGTTGCGCATTTTAATAGAGTCATGCCATTGTCCTGTTGATTAAGTGCCGTCGTTTTCCGTGCCAATGGAGCTCAGGCTTGATTTAGTGAATCTTTCATCACTGTTGGAGCTCCAACAAGTTGGTGAAGTGGTGGAGAGATGTATAGCACGAGTATGGTAATGCCCCGCTGCTTTATGGGACGTCCCGTCACTGAATGATCACCCTGCTCTCGTTATCTGTCGACTGGGGTAATTGGTGTTTGTCAGGGCCCCAGCTGAATACTGCTCCTGCAATCTAAAGCGGCCTTCATCACAATGACCGATCTGTCTTCACACATCTTGTATGTGTTCTGCAGAGTTTTATTGTACCTTTCATTAGTGGCGTAACAGAACAGTTTTGGCTTTTTTTCCTAACGCCAACATCTCTTGAGGTGTAATCGTATTTTAGTCGCACAGAAATTTTGGTGCAATTTAGAGTGGAAAGAGAGTGCAAAAAAAGCCATCAATGTAAACAAATGCAGGTCCGAAATATTCATCATCTGACTCAAGAGGATAATTTACTTCAAGCCTGTCATCCCTCCCCTCTTCTTGACTCTCTAACTGCTTTGGTGTGAGAGTCCCTGGGGCCCCTTAGGGCCCCACAGATGTGTGAGGCCATCCAAAGGTCCACTGTAGTCGAGGCACTGTCAACTCATCTGGGCAGGCGCTTTGATTGAACACTGCTCTAACTGTTAATAAATTCCTGTCACAGTCCATTAAAAAGGCCTTGGAGAGATGGCTGCTCTCATTTATTCTCCACCACTCTCTTTTTTTCCTCCCTCACTTTTGCACTCTTTCTTCCTCACTTGTCCCCCTTTTCAATGTTTTTTTTAAATACCCTCTTAATTACCCCGTCTGTCCTCTTTATTCAAATGAGAAAGTGAGAAATGTGAGAGGAGAATGTTTGTAATTTCAAATAGGCCTCTCAGAAGGCAGATACCGTGAGCGTAATCAACAACGGCAGAGGCTGCGGCGGAGGCTGCGGCACGGGCGTTTACCGTTATCTCTGGAGCAGGGCTGGGGCTGAGGGGCTGTGGTGGAGCTGTGCTCTGATAAACAAACACGTCGGAACCATAATGAGGCGGTTCAGAGAAGACCGTCCTCCCCGTACACACACACACACACACACACACACACACACACACACACACACACACATGCTCGCAGGAGGCACTCAATTCTCCACATGATTAGTCAGTTCATATGTCATCCATTAGAACAGGTTTACCGGCTAGAGGCCCTTTAATTGGTGCACATGGGGTCAGGGAGGAAGGCCCAGCATGCTTGGGGCATGGAAAAAAGGGACACGCCGAAAATAGAAAACAGTTTGCAGTGCTTCTTTGTGCTTCAGGTTAAGCAATTGCTGTTTGTTTTCCTATTATTACTTTGTACTAGTATACGAATAATTTGTTTTTTGATTGTTAATTAAGATTGTTAATGTAACATTTAAACAACAAATTAAAGCCACTCGAGGTCTGGAAGGTCTAACAGTCTAATGTTGGTTTAAACCCAAACAACAGAAAAAGGAAAAGAGGATTATGGAGCTTCTTAAAGAGACAGTTCACTCAAAAAGGAACATTTTGACATCCTTAACTCACCCTCATTTTGTCTTCAAGATGTCTTCTGAAGCTATACGATAGCTTTGTGTGAAAAACAGGCCCATATTTATTTAGAAATTTGGAGCTCATTCTCAGTTACTAAAATATCTTTGCATTATCATTGATCGGATTATACAGATTAACCCTCCATAAATCAGTGCTCAAATATGAACTGACACTGCTCTGATTTGTCTTGTATTTGTACTTTTCTTGGCCTACTACCCATGAGGGAATGTGATTCAGTTTCAAAACGAACCCTTTTTGTCTCCTCAGCCAAATCCAGAGTTTTCCCTTTTCTCCCATAAGAGCAGAGGCTAAAATGACATCTTTCTCACTTTAGGCTTTAAAATGGAATTACTGCTACACTTTCCCTGAAAGATCTCTATTGCTCATTTCTCCTTTATGCTGCCTGGGAAGCGCTCATTGGAGCCAGATGCAGTAAGCCCCTGACAGTCTGAGAAGAGATGAAAGAGCCTGCTGTAAAAAAGGGATGCAGGGACATGCCTGATTGGGAATCGCACAATCCTTTCTTTAAAGAAAGCTTTCTCTTGTTTTAACAATGCCTTTAGGACCATTGTGTGTTTTTGCATAAAGAAAATGAAGCATATTTTTAGGAGCATTAACAATTTTCTGCATTGTAGCACTAGTCGCAATCTCCCAAATGCAGAATAATCTCATTCTCATTACTTTAATACAGTAATAAAAACGATCCTCTCTGGACTCTGGAAAGGTGATATGCTTAATTATTCATGAAAATATCAATATTCATCAATATTCAAATAATGTAGTAGTTAATATGTTTTCTTTATGCAAACCAAAACAAAAAACAAACAAACAACATGTCTTGTTTTCAAGATGCATTGTGCATATTTTTATAATCTTTGTGAAGGGACATGCCTTATTTAAGTCTGAAATTCAGTACTGCCTTATTTAAGGATTACAAACTGATAACATGAAAACACTTCAGCTCGCATTAACGTTTGACATACTGTGGTTTCTCTAATACATTCCATTGCATCAATCATTCCCCAAGTGGGTGCCATCTTTCTTTCATCCCTCTCGTCCTTCACCTCTGATCTATGGCGATCTCCTCCCTCCCCCGGCATCTCGGTCTCATCACATTGGGTTGGGGCTTTAGTTCCTCTCTGTTTCGTTTCTCCATCAATCCTTTATACTCCCACTTGTCCCAGTCGCAGCGCTCACACACAGCACACAGTTTAGCTCAAAACCGAAACGTTCCTTTGAAGATCTGATGAACTTTTCAACCTGAACATTGTGTGTTTAATTGAGTTTAGGTTCTTGTTTATGAATTGCTCTAGTGGCACAAAAATAATGAGACGTTTGAGAGAGGAACGGAGATCATTTGCAAATAATTTGCAACTAGATCGGTTTATGTTAATACAGTAGACAGCCTACGTACGTATCTGTGTTTATAGTCGCAGATGGAGTGGGCAGGGAATGGTCATGAAGGGTTGATACAAGCACTGTAAACGAAGTAACAATAAACAGCAAAATCAATACTGCAGGCTGACAGCGGTCTGGTGTTGCAAGATTGAAAAATGTTGGGGAGCAGAGCAGTGATCAATGGAGACAACCTTCAATACTTTGACATTTCACAAACAGTCTCTCTTTACTGCTGCTTGTTCTCCTAAGTGGATGTAGGAAAAGAGGTTTACAGTACATGTTGGTTCATTTGTGGTGCACGGTAAAGTAAGTATCATTATTCATATTTATATATGATTTTTCTTATATATAAATATAAATATATATTACATATATTTCTTAAATGCATACATATATGTGTGTGTATTGATGTATACATATAAATAGCACACACACACACACACATATATTATGTAAACAAACTTTTAAATTAATTAGAATTGTTACTATTTATTTTATGCTTAAATACTTAAAAACTTAAATACTATTATTTACTATTATGCTTACTTTGTATTATTAATACTATAATTAGTTTATTACTATTATTATGTACAACTTTGTGGTCTCTGGAATCTAAGTGCATTTAACCTCAACAGAATTTGAATGTTAAAGATTTT